ATAAATAATTATAAGAAGTTAGAACTTAAAACTCACAAGGAATCATTGAAAACTTCTCCTCCTCATTTGACTAAATGGAAGATGAAAAATAAATTGAACCAATTAGGTCCAGCCTCGTTCGGGAGAGGGCAAGTCTCAGGACTGTCCAGTTGCCATCCAGTATTTGGTATTAGCATATATTTAGCCTGGACTTCAAAAATAATACATTTTTTATTGCATAATGAACAAGCTAACGCAATATCTAAAGGACCAAGGAAAAAAAAAATGAGAACAAGCTAAGGCAAATAGTTTTTATGCATGTTAATTTGTCAAAATGGAAAAAGAAAAGTAAATTTCACCATAGGTTTCTAGACGCATGTTGACTTGTCAAAATGGAAAAAGAAAAATAAATTGAATCAGTTAGGTCCAACCTGGTTTGGGAACAGCACATGTCAGGGACTGTTCATTCCGAATAACATTCTAACATGTGCATATACTTTTTTTTAATCATAAATTATATAAAAAAACATAAAAATTAATATTAATTTTAGTATTATTATTAAATAGATGGATTTAATTAAAATATTAACAAATTAAAAGCTAATTTTTATTTTTTTAACGTAAATTTAAAATAAAAAATATATTTATTATACAAATTATAATATTATTATTACACAAACTTCTATTTTTTAACACAAATTTAAATAGATGTAAACTTTTGACATATAAGACTAAAACCTAATAAAAGGGACAGCCCTCTACCCTAGCTAACATCTCTTCATTGGGAAGAGGAGATGATAAATCTGAAGCAAAAGTAATTGCGTTATCCCAAACAAAATAAAATCAGAAGCAAAAGCATAGACATGTGACTTACTTTTCTTGCAGGTGAGTGGAACAGTCCTCCTCCGTCATTGTTTCCTAGCTAGCTAGGGGAAAGCGTACAACTCGCTGTTATGCATTAGATTGGACTATCGGAGGTAGAGCTTTATAACCTCGTTGCTTACTGTGGCCAAAAATATATAGAAAATTTCTTGGTAGCGGAGAAAACAATGAATCACCAAAAATAATAATATGATAATAATAATACATAATGACCTTCCTCCGAGTGACTTAATCGATCTTCCGGTGACCAAATTTCCAGAAACTCGAGTTGATGAATCCGGGTTTACCGTCTCTGGGCCTCGGGTTTATGCTATTTCGTCCTGCTGCTCTGCTCCCTGCTCAGAAAGAGGAGGAAATAGGCCCAAACTAAAACAGAATAAAGGTTTCATTCAAATTCAAAGTCAAAGGCCCAAGGAAAAAGGAACTTCAAATGTGACAAATTTAACGCCCATGTAGCATTCCATGGAGAGTCAAAGGTGAAAAAACGCTAGGAAAAGGTCTAAATCTCTCGGAGGTCGGAGCCCCGCCGGAAACCACCATTACTTCAGTTTGAAGACGAGGGACTTCAATCGGAACGGCAAAGCTAGAAATTTGTGAGGGTAAGTTAGCAGATCTCTTTTTAAGATGATACAAGTTGTTCCTTTTCTTACTGTTGGTTCACTTTTCATGTATTAACTATTTGATCTGGATTCTGGATCATAGCCGGCACCTGTGAATCGTGCTCGTAGGCTCAGTATCTAGAGAATTTGGGATTAAATTTCTCTGAAATGTGGTTAATTTGTTACAGATGGGTATTTGAATTATGGGTTTTGTCGGATTTTGATAGGAGTCATGGAAGGGCAGCTCCCAAATACAAAGAAATGGGTAGTGTTTTACCCTGTTTATATAAATTCGAAGAAAACTGTAGCTGAAGGGAGGCGGATTAGCTTGAGCAAAGCATGTGAGAATCCTACTTGTGTTGAGATTGGTGATTGCTGTAACCATCTCAAACTCCCATCTGTTATTGAGGTTTGTTTATGGATTCGTTTTGGGCATTTCTTTGATCTTGCTTGGTAATTATGGCAATTTCATATGGTTCAAAATTTTATGTTGTCCTGCCTCATTGATCCATGTAAGTTGTTGCAGCAAGATCAGCTGAAGAATCAATTTTAGTGTCTGCATGCTTCAGCTTGTGCCTTTAGTTGTTATAAATTACAATTTCAAACATTTCTTGAACTAAAAGAATTTAATATTTCTGTGGATGTTATGGTGTTTGCTCTAGCTGTGCATAGAATTTGACTTCAGTCAGACTTTGTAGCCTATGTGTATGTGATGAACTGTAGCTACCTGGAAAGGTTTAGGGAAGCAAATCTATATCCAGGAATATGCTTGATATGCGGACCAAAGCCATCATATTCAAAAGTTGAACCTCATGTGCTCTCACTGATTGTTATCTGTTACATTAAACCAGTAGTTCTTGTTACTTTTTGTCATGACTCCTTATGAATTTTGCTATGGCAGATTGATAAGGCATATCCTCGTGACTTCATGCAAAGAGGGAGAGTGAGGGTATCGCTGAGAGGGGAAGATGGGACCTTATACAATCCAACCATTTCTTCTAGTAAGGATACTTTTTACTTGAATTATTCCTAATTTCTATTGCATCTTGTGATAGTTTTGCTGCTTCTTGTGATTAGTTTTGAATTATATGTGTGGATTTCATTATTATATTGTTAAATCAGAATTGTTGCAAGGGTGCACAAATAGTTATAATTTCTTTAGATTCAGTTTCCAGACCCTGTAAATGCTAGTAATATTCCATGTCAGTCAAGACCAACGTAACCCTAACTCTAAAGCACGCTTCATATGTGAGAGTTTGATAACTACTGCCTCAATAAATGTAATGTCCCTTCCAAGACAATGCAGTTAAAGTTTAGCTGACTAAAGGACTCAATTTGCTATTACATGGGACATGCCTAAAATAAGACATTAGACAGATGAGGCATGTAAAGGTGGATAATTATAATTCCTATTTACTAACATTGTTTTTGGGAACATGACATTAACAAGTTGATGAGAATTCATGATCCCTATTGAAGTTTTCTTTCCGTTCCTTCCCCACTTACATCCTCTAATGCTAATTCCTGCACCTCATCCTTCTCAGAATTTTTAACAGGGAAGGTTTGCATGATATGCCATTCAGGCAGATGCAAGATGAGTGGAAAAGAAACAAAATTGAATGGTTTTTCTCATTAATTTCAAAAGCAAAACCTCATCCAGGAAGAACACTGCTGCAACAATCTTTACTACCTTTTTATTTTTCCCATTTCAGTGCATTATTAATGTTTTGATAATGTTATATTGTAGGAAAGCAGCTTATGCTCCATGTTGCAGAACTTGTACCTAGACATCCTGGAAGAAACAAGAAACAGGAAGTTCCATCAACATCAGCAGCTGGTGCTGGACCTTCTAACAAGTCTGGGAAGAGTGGAAGAAAAAAGAGATAATTCCAGCATTCAAAATTATCAACAACTTAAATCTTTTTGTTAGCAAAATTATCAACAACTTAAATCATTTTGTCGACCAATATAGACTTCCTTAAAAAATTCTCTTCTATTCTCCATTGTAGCTTTATTTTTGGGTTTTGTCTGTTCCCTTAGAACAAAGAACAAATACCAATTACAGTGTTTTCAAGTTTCAGATTGTTTGGTTAGACCGTTAGAACACAATTGTCATGGTTCCTATTTAAACTCTGTTTCCACTTGCAACCGTTTCTATTTTATAGTCTAAATTGTATGATAACTTTTATATAAATAAATAAAATCTCTTAGTATTTTATAATTCAGATTCTAAATTTAACTTATATCAAATTATAAAATTAATTTAAATTACAAAATAAAAGCTCTCAATGTTCAGAGACCTGTCCCTCTTCATGGGGTCTTCCATGGTTCTCCAGAGTCTTCTATCCTTGTAAGGATCTCACATTGGCCATAATCAATGTACCTCCTTTACCATGGTCAAACGGTAGGAGTTTGCTATTGGTTCAGGTGGGGCCGGAACAGAAAAACAGGTGGCCACGTGGCTCTTGCTTAACTCAATCAATAATGGAGCTGACACGTTTAGGCGTGTTTGCTATGCGTACACTTGGCGAGATAGCGCAAACATTTAGACAAGTTCCACGATGTTACTTTCAACACCTGATAATTCCACCTCACCTGAAACGGAGAAACAGACCCCTTGATTATCAATCTTCGAGAATTCCAGAGCATATCAGATCACCCGAAACGAAAGACATGACCATGGGGACGTCGACGGCGCAAGCTTACGGGGAGCCGCAGTACTGGGACGACCGCTACGCCAACGAATCAGCACCCTTTGATTGGTATCAGAAGTACCCTTCCTTAGCACCCCTCATCCGCCTCTACGTCCCACACAACCATCAACGCATCCTCGTCGTCGGCTGCGGCAACTCAGGTACAACTGCACCGACTGAATCATTCCCATCTAGCTTCAGATCTCCATCTGTCTACCCATTATAAGAAATATGTGTTTGCAGCATTCAGTGAAGACATGGTAGATGATGGATACGAGGATGTTGTGAATGTAGATATATCCTCTGTGGTCATCAAAGCTATGCAAAACAAGTACCAGAACCGTTCACAGCTAAAATGTATCCTGCATTAATTTTCTTCTAATTATTGTAAATATTGTTAATTTAGTTAAGTCTTCTTGTAAAGAAATGAAATTTGTTATTGATGTAATTTTCTTACAAATTGCAGATATTGAAATGGATGTCAAAGATATGAGTGCTTTTGAAGCGGGTTCCTTTGATGCTGTAATTGATAAAGGTACCCATTTTGCTCTGCTAATCTGTTTGTTCAATGCTATTGCCATCAAATTTCTACTAATTCTATTTTCTTTGGTTTTCCAGGGACTCTGGATTCTATCTTGGTAAGTGCTGTTTATTCTGTTTTTAGGTTTTCTTTTATAAAAAAAATAAATGTTTTTCTCGTCTTTTAATTCTTATGAGGAAATTTCTGTGTGTAGTGTGGTAGTAATGGCCGCCACAATTCCACTCAAATGCTTGAGGAAATTGGGAGGTATAATGAGCATAAGACGATACTACAATTGTTTTGTAAATTTTCATTTATGTTTTTGCTTGATATGTTCATGACTATATATTGAAGCAGTTGATAACAAACTATAGGGTGCTCAAGGATGAAGGAGTCTATATTGTGGTAATTATGCTTCTCTTTATTTCTCTGTATGAGTATGTGTTGCTTCATACTTTTACCATGCATTCCCTCAAAATCTTTTTATTTGGTTCTAGATGATAGATGTGATGTGATTCTGTTTTCAACTTGCTATTTGTTTTTTCATCTGATACTATTCTAAGCGCTGCAGATAACATACGGAGCTCCACAGTATCGTCTCTCCTTGCTGAAACAACCATCCTTATGGAGCATAAAATTTCATGTGATAGGTTGACTAAATTCTGATTATATTAATATATTGTTGACAGCATTCCCATTTTCTCTCTTTTATTAGTTGATATAGTATTGATTAAAAGTCTCACCAGTTAATCTTAAGGAGTTGTTCTTCTTTATGCTTATGGGTTAGTAGTAGTAATAGCAATGAGTTTTAGATTTTGTTTTAATCTCGTTGTCTATCACATGCAGAGAAATTTGTAGCAGGAAGAAGCCCTGAGCAACCACCAATAAGAGAGTTAACAGATCCTGTTCCATTGGATGGGGATGC